TCTTCCAAGTTCAGTGTATGTTTGAGCGAGGAGGAAGCAACAGGCCCAGTAAAGGCTAGCCAAAGTGCTTGTCACTGTTATCTGAGACTGTCTCCCTCTTAGATTTGATAGAAAGGAGCCATTGTATCAAAAGTTCATAGAAGGTACGTACATTGTGGTTTTGCATGCATATAGTTTGCTTAGGAAGATGCTTTCAGAGAAATTTTCCTTTTAGTACAATGGTAGACAAATTTTTGTTCACCTGTCTTGGAGTTTAGAATCAATTTTGATGCGTATTTTTCTTCAGGAAGTCTCTGTGGACCTGTTTTTAGTTGTTCGTTCTTCTAATCTGAAGAAATTTTCCTCACAGTGAACAACAGCCTCCAGTGTGATGTGGTTATAAAACTATATAAGCAGTTTATTGAGTGAAATCTGTTTAGAGAAGATCAGAGAAACAAGCATAATGCTCTTCACCATCCCATAGGTTGCTTTTCAGTATAGAAGAGCAACAGTCAATCATGGATTTTATTTTTTGATTGATTTTGGAAGTACCAGATCTTGGAATTTGGATGAGCACAACATATCCCTTTCTGCTCAGCAAATCTAGGAATTGTTCATTACATATGGTCAGTAACAGGATGTGTACAATGGAGAAGAAGTAAATTTCATTTTCTTTCTTTTTGTAACATTCTCCATTTGTAACATAATGAACTCCCAGATGTCATCCCCAAAACAAAGAACGGATGGTGTAGGCAATCATTAGCGCTTAAAGGATTATTTTCTGTCTTTACTGTAAATATCCAGAATGCCTGAGCATTATTTTAATTACAGTTTTTTGAGTGAAGGCATTTATGAATTGAATGTATAAATTTACTCTTGCGCACACACATGTGTACTCTTTACTTTGAGGACAATGGTCATCACCTGGTATGTGTTATTTTATGCATTGTGTTTAAGGCATTTGTTCCATGTTGCCCTTTATATAATAATAGAATTATAGAATGGTTTGGGTTGGAAAGGACCTTCAAGCTCATCCAGTTCCAACCCCCTGCCACAGGCAGGGACACCTCACACTAGAGCAGGTTGCTCCAAGCCCCTGTGTCCAACCTGGCCTTGAACACTGCCAGGGATGGGGCAGCCACAGCTTCTCTGGGCACCCTGTGCCAGCGCCTCAGCACCCTCCCAGGGAAGAGCTTCTGCCTTAGCTCTAACCTGAACTTCCCCTGGTTCAGTTTGACCCCATCACCCCTTGTCCTGTCGCTCCAGTCCCTGATGCAGAGTCCCTCTGGAGGATCCTTGTAGCCCCCTTCAGACCCTGGAAGCTGCTCTGAGGTCTCCACTCAACTTCTCCAGGCTGAACAGCCCCAATGTTCTCAACCTGTCTTCATACGGGAGGTGCTGCAGTCCCTGATTATCCTCGTGGCCTTGCTCCAGCAGCTCCATGTCCTTCTTATGCTGAGGACACCAGCACTGCACACAGTGCTGCGAGTGGTGTCTCACTGAAGCACAGCAGAGGGGCAGGATCACCTCCTTCCGCCTGCTGGTCACACTGCTTTTGATGCAGCCCAGGACATGGTTGGCAAAGCATAGGATATGGTTGGCAATGAATAAGAATAAACAAAGGGATATGGCTTGAGGAATTCAAGTTAGTGGTGTAAAACATGTAAGATCAGAACTAATCCTTTGACCCAATAAGAAAGATGACTCTTGAGATTTCTTTGAAGAAAATTACTAGGTGATTGGCAAATGGTGACCATGTTACTGAAGCTGCAGGAGAACTTGATGGTACTTGGCACATGAAGCAGTCTCGTGGTTTTGGGCTGGTTGGGCAGCATTTCATGGCACTATGGGCAAGTAGCAGCTGTTGTCTTCTCAGTGTCATGGCTTGTGTACCTTTGTGTGGTGTTCAC